TACTATTAGTCTATTAATCGTATCTTATAAACATTCGAAGCACTCACGGGACCCATAGCGATTTGTCGAGACCAATCTTTTTCGGTACAACTTGCACAAAGCTATTAAACGTGTCCAGATCGAGATCCCTGAAAGGCTGCTTTGTATTAATACGCTTAGAAGTTTCAAAAACCATTGATCACCAAAAGTGTTTGCGCTGTTGGTCTTCGAGGGCGCACAGAAAGAAAGTCGCACTCCCGCTGGGCTCGTGTTTGTCGTGACCACATTCAAAGACGTTACCGTTGCAGTAATTGCGTCCGACATCTGTACATAAACAGGTTTTGATAACGATAAAAAACAAGTTGTGTAACTATCAAAACATTGAAACTAGTGTTTTTATAAGTTTTGACAGTGAGTTCAAGTTATAAGCATGTCAAATGTCTTATTTTCGACCAATTTTATTAACTACATCCACATAAAAATTGAGTTAAAACTCCGTCAGCTTTAGAAAAGAATCAATAGCAATAGTTGAATCTATTTCCTTTGCTTACCTTTTGGAACAGCGATAGATCCGATCCAGCCGATACATAAGCGAAGGCAATATCGGCTCCAATCAAAGCTGGTTGACTTGGAGCTCCACTCACAGTTGCAAAAGTTGGAGGTGGGGTCGTCTAAACACTTTTTACTAATTCTATTACATTGGCAACTTGAAATTTGGTACACTTTTTCGTAAATTCCATAAAACATATTTAATACGCCAATTGAATTAAACTTCTCTAAATAAAAGATATATTATCTAATTTAAACCATGCTTAAGCAAATTTGCGCAACTTTTGAAACGAATTTGAGCAGAAATTCAAGTTTTTCTGGAAATTCTTCAAATTGAACTATAAAAAAACGATTCATTAGATCTAGCTGAGGAATCGGCTAGATACCTAGCTTTTCATGCTCTATCTTTTTCTATTAACATCAAAATAGGTTTCTGTGGAAGAAAGTGCTCAAATCGCTTCATTGATTGTTCATCATTTTTGGCTCCTCAACTTCTTGCCCCCTAGAAACCTATAAAACTGAAGTTTTTCTAAATCTATCAAAAGCCTGTTTTAGAGAATAAATGGGCCTTTTTATTGGTTAAAACTGTAGACTAATTGGTGCACTAGTTATTTCTAAAAAATGCAATGAATAAGTGTACCCACTTTCAAGGTTGCAAATTTAATATTTTTTTTATCAAACCGGTGGCAATGTTGGTATGGTCACTTTCAGTTGCGGCCGGAAATAGAAACTGATGATACCTGAACCATAATTTTAATAGGCTCCATGGGTTTGGCATCATTATAAAACCCAAACCCACCATCTTTTACACCATTATAAAATTTCATGCTAATGTCAAGCTCCGAAGTTTGGCTTACGAAGTTTGCCAACGCTTTGACGATGTCGGGGTTGTTCAGATCAGCGGGTCTCAGGCTAAAATATTTCCCTATTGTGTCAAGCGATGGGTTCGACATTTTAAAGAACTGCAGTTATTCAAGATATTGAATGCAACTCTTATGCACAATAACCGCAGCAACAAAAACCCACTCGAAAGCCATGGTTGGGCCATCCATAATGATGATTTGCAAGTCATTGGGTTGGCTTGCGGAGGAAAACGTGTTGAATTGAATGTTCTGAAATGATCAAAAAATGAATGTGACGATTCTCAGTAAACAATTCATTTGACATTGTAGAACCCACGGCTAATACGAGACTTGAATTGCCCGTTGCTGCAATATAAGGACAGGCACCACCGGGTGGATAGCACGAATTATATTCATTATCTCGTGGGTTGGTCGGAGTGAAGATAGAGGCAGCGGTTTGATTGCCGTAACATAAACAATCTTGCGCTGCTGTAGCCAAATAAACTAAAAAGTTTTTTTTATTTCTCTTATTTCGACAGCGTTTCTAAACAAGACAATAAACCCACCTAAAGCCAGAAGAAACAAGCCAAATCGGAGAATCATTTTAGCTTATAGTTAACCCAGGCTATAATCTTGCTAAACTTGATTCAATTAGCTGGACTCAAAGAAATAAATGAACTCTAAGAAAACTCCCAAAAAAGAAATCCAATTGAAAAATCCAATTGAAAAATTCAAAGAAAATCCAATTGAAAAGGGCGTCGCCTTTTTGCGCTTATCTGGATTCAAATAAAATTCGTTGTTATCATTTTGACGGCAAAAAGAGAAGCCGAAAAGAGAGAAGAATGGTGTGGAAGTAGAGCGTTTAAAAAAGAACAATAGGGTTGAAAATCAAAGAAAAACGATTAGGTCGAGTCAGCGAAGAGTGGAGAGATAGTGATGAGAGTCAGTCACCGGATTTGCCTGGGAATTCTTTCACTTATCCGTTAAAGGTATACTGTATAAAATTGGTTTGTACGAGGACTGTTTTCTTTGCAATCTTTTGTCCGGGCGGAGATGCTTTCTCCTTAATTGCTTTCTCCTTAATTGATTGTGATATCTGATCAAAATCGACAAACTTTTTCCCAAATTGATGTGCAATCTGACCAATCAACTTGAAAACAATAGTTTTATTCGATTTACAAGAAGTGTATCTTCTTTAAATGAATGAGAAAAAGAGGTTCTGGCAAAAATTCTGGCCTTATCAAACACTTAAATAACGTTAAAGATATTCAATAAACGGCCTAAATGCTCTACACGAAAATTGGCCATACAAAAGGTGGTTGATTGTTTAGATCCCAAATTTCAATTTGGTGTCGAATATTCGGCACAATCCCAACTTAGCAACATTCGAAATGCCGTGCTTTTGAACTTAGAAGAAGAAATAGACGAAGAAGAAATAGACGAAGAAGAAATAGGAGAAGAAATACGAGAAGAAATAGACAAAAAGTTAGCACAAAAGATAACGGTTTAGGTAACGGCCTCCCAACTTGAAAGCAGTGACGAGATGTCGGCCAAACTTGACAATACAAAACGTAATTGATTGTTTAGATCCCAAATTTGAATTTGGTGGAATATTCGGCACTCCCAACTTAGCAAAATTAGAAATGCCGTGCTTTTGAACTTAGAAGAAGAAATAGACGAAGAAGAAATAGGAGAAGAAATAGACGAAAAGTTAGCACAAAATTGGTAACGGCTCTCCCAACTTGGAAGCAGTGACGTGATGTCGGCCAAACTTGACAAAAGCAAAGGCAATTGATTGTTTAGATCTCAAATTTGAATTTGGTGTCGAATATTCGGTACAGAAGGCAATCTTTTTCATATTGATTACAAATAGAGTGCGTTTCTTGCAAGAAATAAGTGTAAAAGCGGACAGTTTGAACAAACTTTTGTTATCCCTTTTCCGATTTAAACGTTTTACTTAACTTTGCTCTCATTCAATTCACAGTTTGACTCCGTATAGAATTAGACCATTAAGTTAATCATAAACATAAAGGAAAATTACGGTAGTTTCAAGATTACCCATCTTCAACTCGGACTCGTTTATCTATTGGGTTGGTGGAAAAGTCCTTTCCGATTTTTTGGAAGAGTACCTTAAATTTGTCCAATTTTGACGTTTTACAGCTCATCCTAAAGCTGAATTCAAGACGGATCGATTGGTAAAAACTGTTTTGAGATATCTCTTTTCTAAAAGTTTTTACAGTTATTTTAGTTAAAGGCGGCAGAGCCAAAAAATGGCTGTTTTCACGTTTCGTTAGTTTTCCGTGCAGAAACCTAGGCTGAAAACATGTGTTTCGTGATCAGCGTCAAAAATAACCCCTAGACACGCATTTTCAGAATCTTAGCATCAAATTTTTGAAAAATATTGTCACCGGTGGGAGTCGAACCAGCGACCCTCAGATCAATAGCCTTTCCGCCGCTTTTCGCGATTTTCCTTCGTTTTTCTCGTTTTTTTGTTTTATCATTTTTTTTATGTTGTTAGAAGGCTTTTTTCAGGAATGTCGTGTCAAGTTGAATCGGAGGAGCACCAGCGACACCTGTTTTTGTATGCATTCAACCGAAAACTCAATGCCGCACAGGCTCATCGAGTAATTACTGACGTTTATGGACCCAATTTCGTGACCGAACGAACTATCCGTTATCGTTATCGTTTTAAAAACGCTCAATTCAATTCCCTATCAATTCCCTATTTTCAATTTCCATGTTGCTAACTGCTTTCTGCAAAGAAATCTCATTCAAATCTGGTTAAAAAGCAAAAAAAAAAGTCGATTTTCCTTTTCGGCAGTAAATTTCGACAGTAAAAAGTCCAAAAACTGCAACAAAGCAGTCGTGCATTCATTTTAAAAAAAGAGAACTTTGAAAAATCAATTCCACCTCCAAAAGTGACCTTTCTTACCGGATCTAATAATTGGAGTTTCTTCAATTTTCTTAATCCCCTTATCAGCCTGAGAAAAGAACATCTGGAAATTGCTCTAACGACAATCCACATTAACAATAGGCTAAAACTTATTGAAAACAATAGTTGTTTCAAATTTTATCATTTAAAGCAACTGTCCAAAGGGACTTTTGGAAGCTTTTGCCCTACATAAGCTTGCTCTTTTTGGCATATTCAAAGTGCTTCGATCCGTTTGGCACATTCAAAGTCCTTCGATCTGTTTGGCACATTCAAAGTACTTCGATTCATTTGGCACATTCAAAATGCTTCGATCCATTTGGCACATTCAAAGTGCTTCGATCTTTTTGACACATTCAAAGTGCTTCGATCCATTTGGCGGCACCCTTCTCAAAAATCTTATCAGTGTTTTACGATCAATTTCCTTAAACTGCCCACATTTTTGCCTGAAAATGGGCGAGTCTCATTCTCTAAGAAGTCGTGTCAAATTTTAGGGTAGATTTTCCTCTTTGATAAGACCAAAGTTTGGCTTTTTTTAACGATTTAAAAACACTCTAAATGATAATAGACAATAAGAAACCACCAAATTGAATGAATTTTTGTTTTTGTGAAACAAATTATGAGAAAATCTTTATTCACACTTTATTATGGTTTATTCACACTTCATTCAAATTCAATTCTGAAATCTAAATTCAATTTCAGCCGTACATCGGAAAACCACCAGTTGTCAATCCAAGGAAACGATTCCGACTCACTCCGTATCGATACGGAATATAAGGACCCGACTGGTAGTCATCGTAATAGTCATTGTTTTCCAAGCGACAAGAATGGCAACCTGAAAAAGTTGAGAGATAATTTGGCTTTGATACTTTACATTCCACTTAACTGCACTTACAATCATGATAACTGTAGGTCATGGTTTTACAAATCAAAGATTAAGGTATTCAGTCCAGATTAGAGTATTCAGTCTAGATGGTCTGGATTACGGTATTCAATCTAGAATAGGATATTCAGTAGAATAGCTAGGTTACGGTATTTAGTCTAGATTAGGGTATTCAGTCTAGATTAGAGTATTCAGTTCAGATTAATATACAAATATACAAGAAAACAAGTAAAACTTTCCTTTTATGATCTGTAGCTAATGAGCTACAGATAATAAAAGATCAATTTTCAATTAGTAAATCTGTTCTTATGTGGTGAATGAAAGAAAATGAAACTAGACATTTAGCATTAGGCTATCCAGAAAGTCTTTTTCTTTCTTTGGCCTTTCTTATGAAAGAAACCGTAGTTCAATTGGTGCATTACGCCCTATGCTTAGCCCTATTCTTAAAATATTGTGAGTTTTGAAATGAAATCGAAAGCTAACGATTTAGCTTATTTGCTTTTTTTAAAAGAAAATAGCATTGTTCATCTTGTTCATCTTGTTCATTTTTTCAGTTACCTCCTCGTCGAACACATCTCGGTTTACAAGCTGGCATACAACAAGCGCAGCATTGATTTTGTCCACGAGCTAGACCACAATTTACACAAGGTTTTGGCTCCTGGAAACTTATATTGAAAACTTGTTCATTTTTACTTTTAGAGAAAGTATTCGGAAAGATTAACTTACTTAACTTTAAGATTAACTTCAAAACTTACCGAACTGCTGCAAGGTTGGCAACCACATGGACCTGGGTAGCGGCAGGAATTGCCTGAAAGGCAAGTTCGAAAGTGCAATTATCTTATTTACTTCATTAGTACTGTGCCTCTAATAGTATTGCATGCAAATTTGCATTTATCCAAAGTTAATTTCCATTTGTGGGTATTTAGGCCACTTCTTTGCTAATTACAGTACTGGACAATGAAATATCATATTTGAAAAAAGATCGTCACTTTTGTGCGTCTGTAACTCCCTTGTCTTTGAGTTTAAACTATTAGTGTTATACATTTTCTGAAAGCTCTTTTCAAGGGCTACACAATGGTAATATTAATATTTAGAAATACGGTAAAGACAAGGGAGTTACAGACGCGCGAAAGTGACGATCGTTTTTCCAATATGATATTTCATTGTCCAGTAGTGTAGGTAAATGTGTTCCAGTTTGTTGGCTGAATATCTTTCAATTTCCTATATTAATCTTTTAAATTTTTTTCACGTCATTTCTTTTCAGTGTTGATTCTTTATAAGTTTTATTGATAGAAGCATTTTTCTGTTAAATACTCTTTTAACTGTTAAACTCTACTCTACTCTACTCTACAGTTAAACTCTACAGTACTGCAATTTCCTACAGGAAGAAGATACGCAACGAAGGCAATTACGTGTTGATCTTTGCTTTTGCGATGAAACGGGTATCTTTCTTGATGCTTCGAACAGTTTAACGATTCAAAGAAGTTTCTGTTCTGTTCTGTTTCTGAAGAAGTTTCTGTTCGGGAAAAAGGATTCAAAGAAGTTTCTGTTCTTTCAACGACAAGATGAGAATCTTAGTGATGCTGACTGCTCGTGATGATTGTTTCAAATGCAAGCCTTGTTGCTAAATCGAGTTCGTCCTAATCTAAAAGTTGTCGCCAAGTTCCCTAACAAACTCGTGTTGCATTGGGAAGCATTGACCAATGCAACACGAGTTTGTTGTGGAACTTGGCGACAACTCTAATAGTACTGCTCAACTCTAATTTTGGGGCATCCTTTAGTTTTGCGTAAAATCTTTTGAAAAATTCTATAAAGAAATCGACTAAACATATGATTCTGAAAATTTGGCTATAAACCTAACGTTTTACGCTCAATCTTTTATCTTATCTCTTGATCCCAAGATGGATTTTCGTGAAGTAGTAGCACCTCTAATAGTACTGCACCTGCAATAGTATTGCGGCTTGAGCCGTGACGAAAGAATAGTACTGCGCCGTACTAATAGAGTATCTCAAATCTCAAATGAATCAAACGGTATCTCAAATGAAATAAGTTTTAGGTTTCAAAGTAGTTGAGCTTTCAAAAAACTGAAAAGAACTTACACCCTGAGCATCCGGAACAACTGGAACAAGAGGAACACCCGGCGCAAGTCTGACGCTTCCCTCTGACAACAATGTCTGTTGAATTGAAAATCTAAAAGCCAAGAAATGAACAAGAAGCTTAAAATCAGGAAATGACATCAAGAAATGACATCAAGAATTACTTAAATCAACTTTTTACTTGTAAATCTTCAATGACACTTGTTTCATTTGCCATCATTTCTGACTTTGACGACTCTTCTGCAGCAATAATTTGAAGCAAAGTCAGCAAGAAATAACAATAAATCATGATCTGGATACGTGAAAAGTTTTCCTTGTCTTCCACGCGCTTTTATGTTGTCTATTCGGTAGAAATTGGATGCCAGAATCGGCGATATTCCTTATTTCTTTTTGTTTTCTTCACCAAGTTGAGAGACGGCCTGCGGGAAATCCGATGATTTGTCAACAAATCGCCTCTACGTCAAGCTTGAAAACGTCTGTAAAAGATCGAGAAAATCTTTAGAGATATTTGAAAGTCAAAAGATCAAACGTGACGACGATCAAATGGCTTAAATAGCCCATTATCGTGAAATTTCAATGAAAAATGTCAACAAATCACTTGAATTAGCCACAAAACACGTAAAATAGCAGCGAATCACTCGATTTGAGCGAAAAAAACGCTCAAATTAGCAACAAACGGTATAAACAGTCCATTTTCTTGGCCTTTCAATGTAAAACGTCAACAAATCATATGAATTAGCCACAAAACACGTAAAATAGCAACAAATCCTTCGATTTGAGCGAAAAAACGCTTAAATTAGCAAAAAAAGGCCTAAACACTCCATTATCTTGAAATTTCAATGGAAAGTGTCAACAAATCGCTTGAATTAGCCACAAAACACGTAAAATAGCAACAAATCACTCGATTTGAGCGAAAAAACGCTTAAATTAGCAAAAAACGGCTTAAAGCGTCCATTATCTTGAAATTTCAATGGAAAGTGTCAAAAAATTACTTGAATTAGCCACAAAACACGTAAAATAGCAACAAATCACTCGATTAGAGCGAAAAAACGCTCAAATTAGCAAAAAACGGCTTAAAGAGTCCATTTTCTTGGCCTTTCAATGTAAAACGTCGACAAATCAAAAAAAGCGATCGTAAATGTAAAAGAATTTGTTTAAAGTGATTTGTGCACTGTGAACTCTGAATTTTTGTTTGCTTTCTTTGAATTTTTGATATGCGTCATTGTTTGACATGTTAACTAAAATATTTATTCACTGGATTAAAGAAAACTTTGCACTTGTAAAGGATTACACCGAGTCGGATCAAAATAAAGTGGAGTAACACAGAGAAAAGAACCGGGCAAATCGAAATCACAAATGAAATAGAACGAAAAAAAAAACTAAAATGGGAACCACACCAGACCCCGGACATTGTTTAGCTGGAAACCAAGAGCTTCGCATGCAGAATTTCACGGTGATTCCGAATCTGTAATCAGAATTTCCTAAAGTCTCAAGCAAAAAAAGATATTCAACTTTTTCTTTTCGGTACATATTTTTGTAGCCATCGGTGCGCAATAAGATCCTTTTTCACACGGTCCTTTCAACTACCTCAGTGGCCTAATGGTTGGTACGTTTGCGTCATAGGCCAACCGCTGCGTTTTATCTACCGGTTCAAGCCCCCTTGCCGCCATCTTTTTTGCTTTTTTTGCTTTTTTTTGATTTTTTTGTCAAATTGATTTGTAATTAAACAAATTCATTATATGCCTTTTTGTTCAACCAAAAAACGTGAAGATACAAATTACGTTTTAGATAAAAACGCGAGCAGGGTTTAGATGAAAACGCAAGCAGGGTTTAGATCAAAACGCGAGCAGGCTTTAGATCAAAACGCGAGCGAGCACCACCCTTATACCATCCATATTTTCAAAACAAGTTCACAGATATTATTCAAAAAGAATAACTTCATGGAGTCGGATCAGTGGATAGATTCGTGGATACATGGATCAGTCAATTTAAAGCACGTTCTGGTCTCCCGAAAGATTACGAGAATTGTATTGACAAAACAAATTGCCCAGGAGCCGGAGATCAAAAAAGCAAAAAAAGATGGCGGGGGATTGAGCCCGTACATAAAAGTAAGCGGTTCGGCTCATGATGCAAGCGTACTAACCATTACGCCACCGAGGTAGTTGAAAGGGCTGATGAAAAAGGATCTTATTGCGCACCGATGGGTGCGAAAAAATGTACTGAAAAGAAAAAGTTGAATATCTTCTTTTACTTGAGGCTTTAGGAAATTCTGATTGCAGATTCGGAATCACCGTGAAATTCTGCATCAGAAACACTCTGTTCCAGCCAAACAATGTCCGGGATCTGGTGTGGTCCCCTTGTAAGCAAAAAACAAAGCAAATCACAGTTCATCGGATCCTGTAAGGGACTAGAATTGTGAAAAAACGATCGGAAAAAGAGAATTGAAAAAAGACAATTAAAAAAAGAATTGAAAAAAGAGAATTGAAGAGAATTAAAGAAAGAGAATTGAAGAGAATTAAAAAAGAGAAAATTGAAAGAATACTTTGATATGTGCGTTTCGTGTTTGAGACCCTGTCGAGGTTGATTGGAGAAAAGAGAAAACTTTAAAATAGCTTCAAATAGCTGCCACTTGTTCTTTGTTTGAATCTAAAACTGATCGATTTCTTGATAATTTGTTTGATTGTTTGATTTACCTGATTTAGAGAATCCAGCCTTATTCAAGGCCATCATCTTTTGTCGAACCTCTCGTATTTTCAAGATCAACGTCTGCTTGTTTGGGAAAACATTCTTGTGCGATTGTTGAAAAGCGGAGATTTCGTGGCCTAGAATGATTTGGTTTTTTTCAGATTCAAATCCAGGTAAGCCATCTTATCCAATCCAAGTAAGCTATCTTATCCAATCCAAGTAAGCTATCTTATCCAATCCAAGTAAGCCATCTTATCCAATCCAAGTAAGCTATCTTATCCAATCCAAGTAAGCCATCTTATCCAATCCAATTAAGCTATCTTATCCAATCCAAGTAAGCCATCTTATCTCATCCAAGTAAGCTATCTTATCCAATCCAATTAAGCCATCTTATCCAATCCAACTAAACCATCTTATCCAATCCAATTAAGCCATCTTATCCAATCCAAGTAAGCCATCTTTTTTTAAAACCAACCACTCGGGAAGAGACCAGCCGTTTCAAGAAGATTCATCACCAATTGTCTCCGTTGTTCTAATAGCTTTCGACTCGAGACTTTTTCAATGGGATTCGTGCATGAAAGTATGTCATCAGTTATTGAAATACTCTGAAATTTTGGAGATTAATAATAAATTAATAATAAATAGACTAAAGAACATATAAATAATCTGTATTTAGAATAAAGTAAACGAATTTTAACAGATTTTAACAGATTTTAACAGATTTTAACCGATTTTAACCGATTTTAACAGATTTTAACAGATTTTAACCGATTTTAACAAATTTTAACAGATTTTAACAGATTTTAACAGATATTAACAGATTTTAACCGATTTTAACCGATTTTAACCGATTTTAACCGATTTTAACCGATTTTAACTGATTTTAACTGATTTTAACAGATTTTAACAGATTTTAACCGATTTTAACAGATTTGAACCGATTCTCAACTCACGGAGTTCGTTTTTTGAATCGGCGCAGGAAAGGAGGCCGTTTGGGGCAAGTCAAAATTTGGGGGGAAGAAGATTGGATTCTAAAGAACATATAAATAATCTAAATCTAGATTACCGTATTATATTTTATAGAATAACTAATACCTGAGCTGGTAGTGCTGAAGCTGGGGATTTATTCGCTGAAGCAGTGGCCGTGCCAGCTGGCTCAAGCAACGATCGAACCAAAAACGATGGAGTTGAGGGTAAAGAAGCCGATCCAGAGCCAGATTCATTCTAAAATTTCAGTTTCAATTTTAATTTCAGTTTCATTCTCACTTTTAAAAGCTTTCTAATGTCTACAGTTGTCTACAGTTGTCTTACAAGATCAAAATTTACTTGATGAGCAGTTTCCGGTAGGAATGAAGGTAATTGGGAGAACTTCTCATGAAAACCGACTTTGAATAGCACTCTGAAAATTGATACGTTCATGATTTGGTTAACAAATTGGAATTATCTATTCTTAAGCATGAAATGGATAAATCCCGTTTGTTAGCCGAATCCTTTTATGTCCTTTTATGTTCTTTTATGGTTGGGAATGGGAATACAAGACATGGTCGGCGCCGGGATTCGATCGTTTAGCGGGCCAACGCTCTACCAATGAGCTACACCAACACGTATTCCCACTGCCCAGAATAAAGCCTTATGCCTTACTCTTTATTCTCATTTCTTCTAGCTTTCCAAACTCACTTATCCATATCAAAATCGTCTCTCTTAAAGAGCTTTGCAGCTCCAGAAGTTGAAGCCGAGGCAACTGAGATCGATTCAATATCAATAGCTTCCTAAAATTAAATGAAAATGAAGACTGAATGAAGAATGAACGAAGAATTCTCAAAGAATGAATTCAATTTGACAATTGCATCCTTTTCAATTGTACAATTGCAATTTGACAATTGCATATATTGGGTTGGTGAATTGAAAACTGCGGGCTATTGTCATATGTGACAGTTTGAGCACTTTCTTCAAAAGAAACCCATTTTGGTGCCAATGGAAAAGTTGTAGAGAATCAAAAATCAAGCTTATATCCAAATTTTCAGAACGATGCAAAAACTGGTTTTCAAGAAATGCCAAATTTACGAATTTTCACCAAACTTGCATTTTAAGCGAAACTACTAAGTGTATCTTTTTGGAAATTTGGCTATAAGCCTAATTTTTGATTCTCTACAACTTTTCTATTGACACCAAAATGGGTTTCTTTTGAAGAAAGTGCTCAAACTGGGACATCTCCAGTTCTCGATTTTTGAGTCTCACACTTGTCTCACACACAAACCAAAATCCTACTACGAAAGAGGAATCCGCAAATTGCCTGTAAAATGGGCAGAAGTCGTCAATAATAATGGAAATTATTTGGAATGAATTGATGGTTTTATGTTGAATAAATTTTAGTTCAAAGTCTCGGCAGTTTTCAATTCGCCAACCCAATAACAAAAATTACCTGTGAATCATTCAAAGTAATTGATGGATTTAATGCGATCGGAGTAAAGGGAATATTTGGTGTGATTGGAAGTTGATCATCCGAATCCGTCTCCATTTTGAACTCCATTTCGGTCGACATAGAGGTTGAAAGGCGCTTTTGACCTCTTGCTAATCCCAATTGAGCTGGCGTTGGCTGTAGGATGAACGGAGTCGAGGCGCTTGTGACTGCTGGTAGCCTGAAGAGTTCTCTTTTTCTTTTTTCTTTTCTTTTAGTGTCTGAGGCAGCTGTGGGACTTGTAGACTGCAATTAGACTGAAGCTTGTAATTGCTTGAATGTCTTGAGCTTATTAGTCTTATTAGTCAATCAAATTAAGCCCCAGTTAGCAGGCTGTCACAACTCTTTCTCCTCAAAACAAGTCTGATAGTGACTCTACTGCTCTAGGCTCTTGCTAGACCAATTTACTGACAACTTATAGCTTCACAAAAATCACAAAACAATCACCAATCACAAAACAATTAATTCACTTACACCATTGATTGTCCAAGAGGCAAAGTCCCAACCAACAAGTCTAACGGACTGAAAGGAACACCTAATAACGGGCTTGCCAACGCTGTTCCCGTCCAACGCGGTGATGTTGGACCTAAACAATTTATGAATTCATTTGATTACATCTAATTCTGTTATCAACTTTTGTCCGTTATTACCAATTGGAGTTGGTCTGGGCAGTCCATCTTTCCCCGTGGGACTTGTTGGAATCGTATTTAGCCGCACCTCAGCCGATGACGGTAATTGAAAAGTTGTCGGCTGCTGAAAGGTCAATTTTCGTCTATAAGTCTATTTGCAGTTTGCAAGTCTAGAAGTCTGTCTGAGTCACAAACCAAGAACGGTGAAAGTAAACACAAACCAAGAACGGTGAAAGTAGCTTGTCCTTTGTGGAGAAATGTGGAGTGAAAGCTGATCCAAAAGAGGCAACGGATGGAGACATGACAGGTTGAGGGAGAGGTGAGAGGGGAGGAATTGAGATTGGTGGTGGTCGATGAGGTTCCGGGATCTGAAAGTACAGTAATCTTAAGATTTTCTGAAACAATTACTTCAAGAGTTTCTCCGTTTTCTAGAATTAATCCTTTGAACTTTGCCGAGCCATTGATTTCACAAAAAATTTCTGTCAATTGATACAAAAACTATTGAAATTGGACAGCCGAACACCAAGATATTTGAGCTCAAAGTTCGATTGCAAATGGCAAAGGGGGAGGGGCGCGCATATAAGCCCCTAAACCGCGCCCCTTTGCCATTGGCAATCCTACTTTGAACTCAAATATCTTGGTGTTGGACTGTCCAATTCAAGTAGTTTTTGTACCAATCGACAGAGAAAGACTCGGCGCATCCAATGAAACTACGTTTACTGGCAAAGTTTACTGGCAAATTGCTAGCTTTCGACATTGTTGTTTAAACAAAGCTATTTTATCTTCTCATTCTAATAGATATCAAAAAGCTAAGTTAGGTAAACTACCGTAAAAACTTTAATAAAAGGAGAGTGAGCTCTATTAGAAGCTATTAGAAGAGTGAACTCTATTAGAAGCTCACTCTCCATTATAAAATATTGACTTTTGACCAATTTTTACCCCTTTTAACCCTCTTTAGAAAGATTTGAGCATAAAAGCATTGAAAGATGGGCTTTTTAGCATAAAAACATTGAAAAATGGGCTTTATAGTATAAAAGCATACAAAAATGAGCTTTTTAGCATAAAAGCATACAAAAATGAGCTTCTGAGCATGCAAAAATACAAGCTTATAAGCTTCTATTAGAGTTTTTATAGTCGTTTGATCTTTTTAAGACTTAAAGCCGACCAATTTGACTTGAAACATTCAACTCTTTACCTGTCCGTGTGTACTCGTCACAATTGTTTTCATCAAAAAGTTGAACTCGGCTGATCCAAGTAAAGGAGAGCAGGGAATGCTAAAACTGAAGTATGTGGCTGGTGTATTTGGCTCGAAATTCTGCTATTGTTTACCTTGTAGGTGGCATAAAAACGGGCATATTCTTGAATGAGGGAGAGAGCATTGGAGACTCGACTGGGATTTCGTTTTCGGCTAATCGAAAGAACGAGTGACGAGTTGACTAAATGACTCAAATTTTTGAGTTTTGGGGAATTTTGATTTGTTTTTTGTTAATTTTGATTTGTTTTTTGTTTTTTATTGTTGTTATCGTTTTTTGTCTGCTATTTTTATTGTAATTTTCCAAAATCTCACCGGTGTCAGTGGACTCAAATTCACTCCGTCGAATCCTTCAACGAAAAGACGAACCATTCGCTCGGAGTGCGACCGGGAAACGGGCGCTGTCGTTGAAGGAACCTGGAATCGAAATTGGCGTAGATCTTTTACAAAATTCTTGATATTTTCTTGTATTAGGTCCGCAGTATGAAAGGAAATAAGATCTACTATTTTCTTAAGAAATAAGAACAAGGCTTTGTTTAAAATTCCCAAATACACCGAGATTGACTTACGATTTGTTTTTTTAGAAATAGAAATGTTTTTCGTTTACGTTTTGTCATTTTTAAGCCTTTGAGCCTGTTTCAAAGTAATTTTAAGAAAAGAAATCCCATTTTTCTCTGAAAATTTGTAAAATTATCATACAAGAAAATAGGCTAGACAGTTTGTTCTGAAAATTTGGCTATACGCCTAACTTTTTGTGCTCTTTTTTGTGCTCTATCTCTTTTTCTATTAACATCAATATCGAGTAATTAAAAAAAACATAGCCATTTGGCTTCATTTTCAACACAGGAGTTTTAGCTTCATTTTCAACTGAGGAGCTGAAACGCTTACTGTCCCTTGGTTCTCTTACAGAGTGTATAAAAAGCATAGCACCGTGTGTTTATGAACTAAAAATTGAGATTGACCGCAGAAATTAACTTGAAATCTCATATAAATATGAAATTAGGGGAATCGAATCAAGTTACAGTCGAGTTAAAGTCGAAAAGCCGAGTTCCCTGTCGATAAAACAAGACGGTATTCTCTCGAGTTGATGACTATTTTACGGTTTCTAAGTTTTCACAGAAGCTCAACACTCTAATCCCCGAAAAGATCTCATCGTCAGCTACATTTTCCAACCCCACATCGATAGGTTCTGATAAGCGGTTCTCGAGATTTCGAGGAATTTAGGCAAAGCTTTGGGTGCTATTAGAGAGAATACGGTATCTAGGTTTACAGTATCAATGATCAATCAATTAATTCAAATCCAATTGTTACCTGTAATATCGCAGGCAACGGTGGCGGTAGGGATGTCAATGAGGGTAAAGGGGGAGGTTTAGGAAAAGACGTGTGCAGCATTGGTGGAGTGGGATTCGTTCGCATCATTGACGGAATTGAGGATGGCGGTTGAAGATGGATCTCATCATCGCTTCTAGAAATATTGCTTTAAAAATATTCAAATTGTAAGCGCTTTCTAGCTTTCATTGAATCAAAAAGTAATGCTTTACCTGTGCAATGGCCCTAACGATTGATCCATCGAATCTTTTCGTCGATCGCCTCGCGTACACCATTTCCAATCGGGATGCGCCTGAAATTTGGACTGATTATAAGTTTAATTGTCTACAATGGCCACTTATGTTGCCTACAATGGCCACCAATCAATTTGAATTCGCATTGATACTGAATTCAATCAATTCTTTGTCATATTCAATCAATAAAAGTGTTACAGTCCCACCTTGAAGTGCTCCTCTTTGACTTGGGTGGCGAGTTTGTGGTATTGTTGCTTCTCCTGAAAGTTTTTTTCATGTATAATGATGGGGAATTTCCAGATGACAACTTTATCAGTCATCAAATAAGTCGCGAATGATTTTCAGTCGCGATTTTTCAGTTTCAACTAACCTCAACTCCTAATGCATACCACCATTCACCCAAAATCTTCGAGACTGTCCGATTGTCTTTATTTGGGTACTTCATGTGCACCAATGGCCGGTGTCGTTTTGAGAAAATCATGAACGCGTTCATTGGGCGACGAATTCGGTCTTTTTGCTAAAATTTCAACTTTTCTATGTATTAGGCTGTGCAGAAAACTTTCTTTCTTTCTTTTAAAAGAAAAAAATGGTTTATGAGTTGTAAGGAAAATGTTAAAGAACTCCTATTATAAAATGTCGAAAAAGACGATCCGGAAAGTCTTTTCGCTTCTTTTCATAGAGAATTAACAAATGCACCAATTAACCAATGGTTTTTTAAAATTAAAAGTGTTTACCGTAAAAGCTAGCTCCCCCCGCCCCGCTCTCCTAGACGGTAAACGAAAAAAAATCGTGACTCTCCTCTAATAATAGCCCCCAAATTTGCATACCGTAAATACTGTAATTGGACCCCACCCCTCTAATAGTACCCCATCCTAGAGGGGGAGGGAAAAAATAATACCCCACCCCTCTAATAGTACCCCACCCCCACCTAACGCGTAATTACAAACAACTCTTTTCCGGCGGAAAATTTTCATGTATTTTCAGAAATCGTTTGTATTTTTAATTTTATCCCATAAATTTGTTGTTTTTAAATTTGGGGTGGCTACTTTGCGCCAAATTTTTTGCGCAGCTCGCCATAACTTTCTTCTAAGTGGACTTCTAAGTTCTTTATGATTGTAGATCTCAACAAGTGCAACAAAGTAACACCAAAATCATAAAGATTGGCCCACTTAGAAGACTTGAACCACTTAGAAGCCACTTGAACTCGGAGGGGATTGATATCGGTTTGGCTGAATGGATACGGGATCGTCGAGCCGAGAAGAAACGAGTGACACGCCGGATTATCTGGAATGAAGCGGCTAATCGATTCAAAAAAGCTGAAATTTCTTTCAAAAGAACCCATGGCTGGATGGAGTCGTTCTTGAGGCGTCACCAACTTTCTTTGAGGGCACCAACAACAACTTGTCAAAAGCTGCCGAGCAAATTTGAGAAGGCCATCGTCGAGCACATTCTGAGGCTGAACAAGACAATCAAAGAAGGCGATAACAAGCACATTGTTGCTTGCGATGAGACGGCGGTTTGGCTGGATGCTTCGACGAGCAAGTGCATCGAAGCGGTTGGAGCCAAAGAAGTTGGTGTTAGAGATCAGAGACGGAAATCAAGGACCTCTTGGAGCCGCTCGCATCGACGGGATTTCAAGGACATCGAGGAATTGATGATCAAGAAAATGATGAATTCATTGATTCGGATGTTTCTATTGATTTCGCTTGTTAGTTGTTTTTGTTTCGTTTTGGTGTTAAATTTTCAAATGGTTAAAACTAATAAAAACTAAAGAAAAACTTTGCTTTTGAAAAAATTATTTGAATGTATCCTGATTTGGTAACTTGAACAGTGGTGTAAAATAGTGGCCCATCCTCTAATAGTGCCCCACCCTCTAATAGTACCCCACCCTAGAGGGGGAGGGACAAAATAGTACCCCATGGGGTCCAATTACAGTATTTACGGTAGTAAATTTGCATGTTTTTGGCTGAATATTTACGGGGATTGGATTTTGCTGGAAGCACCTAAACGCACAAATCCAAAGGCCAAAGGTGGAAATTCAAAGGCCTCTGGATTTCCATCTTTTGTGCGCTGCACTACGAAGGCACTACGAAGTTTGTTCAACGTGCAGATGTGGCTTGGAATGGTCCTTTCATTCGACAGTTTTATGAGGATCGAATTTTTTTGCAAGCACCTGAAGGCACAAAAGAGGGGAACCCAAAGCCCTCTGGATCGAGCTACCTTTATTGACTACCCGGCTCTCTGACTCTCTGACTCTCTGAAAATTTGACTATATACAGAACTTTTTATGCTCTATCTTTTATCTATGGACACCAAAATAGGTTCCCTTAGCTAAAAGTGTCAAAACCGTATCATCCAGCTGTCTCTTTTTACCCGACTTCACACTTCCAAAAAAATCCAGACATAAGACATTTTAAACTCGTTTTTGGTGTTATTTTGTAGAAAAATGATTGAGCTTTCTAATGAAACCAACCGTAGTTCAATTGGTGCATTTGTTGATTTTAAACGGAAGTATGACAAGGAACGAAAAGACTTTCTGGACAGCCTGATACTTAGATGGAATTGAGTAGCCCTAGACAATCCAAATGTTTTATCAATGGTTACAAATGAGCTAAAAATTTTCAATGCTAATTCGAGGAAGGAACCACGGTTGTTAAAGGCTTAGATTTTCAATTCTAAGTTTTTTCTTCAAAACCCAACCTTGTGGTGAGTAAGTGAAGGCCAATGTGTCCCATTCTTTACACATTGTCCCCGTTTTCTTTGTCCCCGGTTTTAATGTTATTTTACAGAAAAATCATTAGTCTTTGTAATGAAACAAACCGTAGTTCAATTGGTGCATTTGTTGGTTTTAAACAAAAGTCCAAAAATAAACGAAAAGATTTTCTGGAAAGCCGAAGATCAGAAATGTTTTACAACTAGGCAAAAGTTCAATGAGAGCATAAAGCTAAGGTTTTGCTGCAAAAATACCATAACTTTAGCTATAGCTAGCTTCTATAGCCTGGGGGAATATCATAGTCCCAGGATGCTTTACATCATTCATTGTTGTTCATTGAGCATTCATTGTTCACTCACCTTTTTCATCTTCCCATTCGGTCCCGGCTCTAAGCTGTTCTCACTTCCATTTGACATCGGTCGATCATCTGAAAAAGAATTTATAAATGTTATTGTTAAGAAAAAGCATTTATAAATGTTATAATTTTCCAGAAAATAGAAAATTTGTTTATTTCAATGCAAACATATAAAATTTTCTTTCTGCAGTCTTTTCTAAAACCTTTCAACCCAAAAAAACTTGCACCCACCTTCGCAAAAAGTGACTTCCGTTTTGACATGAATTGGCGCCTAAAAAAAAGGATTTTAGGTGCTTTGCTTTGCTTTGCAGGTGTTTATTTTTAAATCCTATTCATTTTGACCAAAAATCATTTGATTTTTGAGAGGAGTGGCCTAAATGGCCGTGTTTTATTAAAGCCTCACAATTGTGTTCTCTTTTCCCCCCGGGATTTCTCAGAATCACTCAAAAATAAGCCATCATTGTGCTCTGGGAATTTCTTTTGCAAAAGAAATTATCTATCATGCTTGAATTAGTCAAAAAAAATTAACAAAATAAACTATAAACTTTAGAAAAAAGCAAATTTGTCATTTGGGAATTTTCCCTGTTCTTAGTGTACTTTAAGCTAAAAAATTAAAAGAAAATCCTTTCTAGATTCTGATTTTTCTTGTAGTAACAAAGTTTTACAAGAAAAACAAAGAAATAGTGCGCTAGAAAGGTTGTGTTTGCAAAACTGGCTGCAAATTTAAGCACAAAGTATATTGTTAATTGCTTGAGAGCTGAAAATGAAATTACCATTGAAAACGAAATGCTTTAATAATGATAATTTCAATTTTAGGGCTCAGCAAATGGAAATTTTTAAAGATTTGAGTATTCAAAAGGTTTCAATTCAATTAGTTTTTCCATTGACGCAAAACGGGACGAAATTTAGATCAAACAGGTGGATTCGAACCTGACAAAAGCACCTTTTTATGCAAATTTACTCAGTTCCTAGTTATAAAATTTACTTTCTAGAATCATTTCCGAATGATGTGATCAACTTCCTTTTGAGCTATTCTGGGAAAATAAATAAAAAGAACCAAAGTCAAAAACGATTGGAGTTTGGGACGGTTATAAAGGTAGAAGGGGGACGAGTTTTTTTGACCAACTTGCAGCCCGATTTTAGATAGGTTTTTGTCAATAACTTTTGATGAAACAAATACTTTCTGGAAGCTGACGTTCTAAGCTATCTAAATCTTAGTAAAACGTTCGGATCTGACAAGTTTAAGGTCCTTAAAAATGAGCTGCAAGTTAGCCAAAAAACTTGCCCCCCTCCGATCATCGCTTGACCCCTCCCGCCCCCCAATAACCGTAAAGATCCGGAATTTGAAACAGTTTAGTAGGTAAATCTGTTGTGCTTTTTGGCCAAATTAGAACACACTTCTTTTGGTGCATCTTCCAATTGAATTCTCAGCTTTTCAAGCCTCAAAGTTGAGTGCACCAGATAAAATGTGTGCGTTCCATCAACTCCACCCTTTTTTTGGTTCCTTTGCTGATCTACGGGTGATTCTTAACGGCTTTCATAAGGCAGGGGGCCATGGTAGTGGCTGGTGCTGAGTGATAGAGTGACCGCGGACGAGCCCATTGCTCGCAGGTTCGAATCCTCCTGCTGTTTCTTTCTTTTGTTTTTTTTGAAAAACCTCAATGTGTTCCCTGTGTGCATACGTAATCGTGCTTTACCTGGCAAAGAATAAATACCAATATTCCAAGGTCAAACAGTCAAAAATGGCGTCACGGGTGAACCGTTACCCTGAGGGGAGGCGAATTCCCAGAAAGTAAAATTTTCGAAAACTTTCCCAATACATTAAATGTTCTGTAGTTTCTAAATTACCATTGATTGCACAAAAACTAAATACATCATCGGAATGAGCGAAAAATTCTGCATCTAATGGTCTAGGTCTCATTTTCCATCTCCACATCATCCTCATCAACTTCTCCTGTGAGCCTTGTGATACCTCATCGAATCATACCACAAATTGGACGGATTCAATGTAAATTAACAGGTTTGACTACGGTACTTTCCTCAAATAGATGCATTTTAGAAAACGCATTACTTGAGGAAAACATTCTACTCACCACTGTTGGTCCCATATTTTTGAGTGGCGGCAAGAGGCCGGCCATCGCTGGCGATCCACTCGACGTCTCAGAGGATCTCTGGAATTGGAAACATTGAAATTAAATTCAAAAGCTGAACAAAGAATACTTATTCTTAGTTCTTTACATATCTATGCTATCAATTTGAGTCGTAATTTCAAAGCAAGATGGCTACTCTTTATTTAGAACAAAGTAGAAACAAGGATTTACAAAGGATACAATCAGAAAACTCCTTTGAACAAAGTGAAAATGAAACATTGTCTTTTTCGTTTAGCGAATCGATTCAGAGATTATTATTTTCTCGATTGGATTAGTGTTTTTGAGTCGCTTGAGTGGACCTTCAGGGAAAAAGAAAGGGATTTGGTACTCAATTTTTTCACAAAATAGAACGACTTCCGGGGAAAATTTAAAGATTCAAACAAATTCAAAGAATAATCTTAGCAGATCAATGAGTAAATCTACATAGATTTGTTCTTAAAGAAAAGCTTATAGTTAAAGGAAAGTCTAACAGTGAATCCTCTTTCATATTCTAGGAAATTCGAATAGGAAGTAGGGTGTAAAATTTGAAAGACGAAAGATGCAGACCCGGCTTCTGCCAGGCTAATTGGAGGTCTAGGACTTTACATGGATCAAGGTGTCAAGCCTGCTATCAAGCCTGCTATCAAGCCTACTGTCAAGCTTGCTATCAAGCCTCCTAACAAGCCTGCTATCAAGCCTGCTATCAAGCCTACTATCAAGCCTGCTAACAAGCCTGCTATCAAGCTTGCTGTCAAGCCTGCTATCAAGCCTGCTATCAAGCCTACTGTCAAGCCTACTGTCGAGCCTGCTGTCAAGCCTACTGTCAAGCCTACTGTCAAGCCTACTGCCAAGCCAGGGCTGAATCTATTAGCTTGACATTCTCCCAGGCTAATTAGAAGTCTAGGACTTTACATCGATCAAGCTGTCAAGCCTGTTGTCAAGCCTGCTATCAAGCCTCCTATCAAGCCTACTGTCAAGCCTGCTATCAAGCCTGAATCTATTAGTTTGACATTTGAGCTTGAATCATGAAGGATCCTCCTAAATGAACTTAATTGAATGAGAAACTTTCAATGAAAAACGATTGATCTTTAAAATTTTGTACGATTGTGATTGTGATTGTATGGAAATGAAGAGAAAGAAAGGGCAGAAATTGTTTTTCTCTCAAAGAATCGAGGGGAAATGGGAAGGGAAGCAAAAGCGGATGATTCATTTCGATATCACCTAAATCGCTGGCCATCATTGGGGAGTGTGGAAAAAAAAATGAAGTGAGAATTGAGATGAAAGATGGTCCGAAAATCAGAATTGAGATATTTGCAAATAATGAATAAGAATGTTATTGAGATGGGCGTCAAAGTGTGAAAGGGGATCGGTGAGATTTGAATATTTGGAATGTGTTACAAGCTGGTAGAGCAGTTACTTTTCGTTTTCTAAAGCATAGCAACTTCTAAAAAACTTTGCCTTTAGCTGTAGATTCAATAAATTCAATTGTTTTATTCAATAGATCTTTCGGTATTCAACGTAAATCCGTAGAGAAATAGCTAGAAATAGGTTAAAGAGACTCACTGCAAGACTACGATAGTTTTTGAAAGAAATGAGTTTTAGAAAACGAGTTATTTGAAGGAAAATCAATCTGTAGAAGCAGCAGACAGTGATTTGAAATAAACTGTGCTTGTAAAATCAAATTCAAGAGCTAATAAGACTTAAGTCTTTGAAAACTTTAAAAACTACAGATAGAACCTGACTAGATAATCAAATACTGAACTTTTGACTGCAAATTAGTCATAGAAGCCTACAAACTACCAAGCCAAACTATAAACCGTTGTAAAAACGCGCAGAATCGATATTTTCGCAGACATTTGTTACGAAAGAATTGAGCAAACTTTCGGCTTTCGAATGACATCAAAAACAGGCCAAATCATGAGCTAAGATATAACGTTTTTTGTCAGATTTGTAGTCCATGGAATGAGACTACAAATCTGACAAATAGCTATAAACGGTTTGTTTCTGGAGTAAATATAATGGATTGGCTTGCATTTGGTGTCATTCAAAAGCCGAAAGTTTGCTCAATTCTTGCATAACAAATGTTTGTAAAAATAACTATTCTGCGCGTTTTTACAAGGGTTTGTAGTTTGGCCTTGTAGCCTGGCTTTGTAGCTTGGAGCATTGTAGTTTGGCTTTGTAGCCTGGCTTTCTAGTTTGTAGCCTTGTAGTTTAGCCTTGTAGCTTGGCTTTCTAGTTTGTAGCCTGGCTTTCTAGTTTGTAGCCTTGTAGCCTGGCTTTCTAGTTTGTAGCCTTGTAGCCTGGCTTTGTAGCTTGTAGCCTGGCTTTCTAGTTTGTAGCCTTGTAGTTTGGCTTTGTAACCTGGTTTTCTAGCTTGTAGTCTACTGAAAATCCTTTCTGTGCGGCAAAGAGTCAAAAAGTGTAAGTGCCGCACCGTTGTATCAATTCCCCCATCCACTAAAGCATTCAAGATTTCCCTGAAGCTAAAAATAATCAATATTTGTCATCATCTCCAGCACTAATCCATTATTTTGAAAGAATCTCGCTAAAATTGCTTTCAAAAACAAGAAAAGCCACAAGATTTTTGTACAGACGCGACTCGGAAAAAATAAAAACAAAGGAAAACGCTAATGGACGGGGGAAAATGCACGCAAAATCTGGCAAGCTTCCATTTTCAATAGATTTCCTGGATTCTTAAGCTTTCAATTGAAACAAAAGATAAAAGAGACAATTTTCGGGGCTAAAAGAGACGAATTCTTGAATTGAAGTTGATTTAGAAGAAGCTAGATAAGCTAAAGTATAGTGACCAAAGCTTAGATCTAATTTAAATCGATAAGTGAATAATTTATCCATGAATACCTAACTTGAGGACACTAGGTAGTTAGATACCTAACTTCAGGACGCTAGGTAGTTAGATACCTAACTTCAGGACGCTAGGTAGTTAGATACCTAACTTGAGGACACTCAATGAGGTGGAAAATTCGGGGAGACAATTTTCGGGGCTAAAAGAGACGAATTCTTGAATTGAAGTTGATTTAGAAGAAGCTAGATAAGCTAAAGTATAGTGATCAAAGCTTAGATCTAATCTAAATCGATAAATGAATAATTTATCCAAGAAATTTCTAGATACCTAACTTTTTGCTCTTTCAAAAGCTTGTTTGTTCAAAAGCTGGTTCAAAAGCAAAAGCTGTTCCCCTTTCCGCTCAGATTGTCATGTTAAAAAATTCAAATTCTTGTTATTCTTAGCACTGATTCACCGGATTCCACGTTTTACTCTCTCCTAATTAACTCAAAAAAATATTTTCCTGTTTTCTGGTACGATTCCTTGCTAATCCTTGAAATTTCTCGTGATTTTTGGTGTAATTGAAGCAAGGGATTTAGGAATGGCAGTGTTTCCACATAAGTTTTTCTAGTTTTGTAAATCAGATGCTGAGAATCCGTCTTTTTTTCATCTGATCACCTTTTTTTCGCGTCTACTAGGAGCTTATAAAGGTTTGAATGGATTTGAATGGATTTGAATGAATTTGAATGGATTATTGAATGGAAGCGGGAAGGGATTCTCATTTCTAAACATAAACATGTCTTTACCGTATTCCTAAATATTAATATTACCATTGTGTAGCCCTTGAAAAGGGCTTTCAGAAAATGTATAACACTAATAGTTTAAACTCAAAGACAAGGGAGTTACAGACGCGCGAAAGTGACGATCGTTTTTCAAATATCATATTTCATTGTCCAGTACTGTATAAATGCAAGTTAGAAATCAAAAAAACTCCTTCAACTTCTTCAACTTCTTCCTTTGGACTTCCAAATAGACTTCCAAATAGACCAAATCAATTCAAGTTTTGTTTATGAACGTTTAAAGAGCTCAATTTATTCTTATTGTTATTAAATATCATTAAATTCTATTTTTACATTCAATTTTTTAATGATAAATAGGTGGGAAATTTTTCTGACCGTTTAAATCATCAAAAATGATAAAGAAAATCATCAAAAAACTCCAGAGAGAGAGGTCGACTAGAGCTCGTTCGACAGCTTGTAAAATGAGCTGCATAACTTTGATTGTGGAATTTTCAGTAGAGAAATGAGGTCAAGATTAGGGGCTTCAATTCGCTATATAACAATTGACACTTTTGAAATAAATTAGACATTTCCCAGCTACTTTTCCAAAAAGTTGTTGCGGTAATTCTTGGTCATCCTGTAAAATGAAATCGGCTGAACCAATTTCTCTGAAAATTTCTCTAGCTCTAGCTAGCTACCCAACTTTTCATTCACTATCTTTTTTCTTCTGAAACCAAAATAGATTTCTGTGAGAAAAAGTGCTTAAATTGGAACTTTTCATCGTTTTTGAGTGCTTCATCGTTCCATTGTCTCATCGTTTTTGACTCTTTGCACTTCAAACCTGGACTTGTACTTGGACTTGTGCGTTTTCAAGAAATTTACCATTAAACCGCACCGGTCTCACAAGAAATTATAAAGATCAAAGTATAAATACATTTCTTACAAATCCATTTAAAAGCTAAGAATAGCTGCTTTAAGCTTTAAGCCTTAAGAATAGCTGCTTTAGGCTTTAAGCCTTAAGAATAGCTGCTTATTTCATCTAGCAATCATTATTTTATTGTACTTTGGATAAAGTTCTCACGTGATTTAGATTCCAAATGACTTTTCGAGTCCAAAACTTTTTCTGCTCGCTTTTTCTGGCCAACTTTTTCTTTTCTTAATTCCCCGCAAAACATCCAGCAAACAAAGAAATTCAAATAAAATAATGAAAAGAATTCGAAGGCGAATGTTTGCCGAAAAATTTGATTTCGCTACGTAAATGGGGCTGAAAGAGATGAATGGAAAAAGCGACTTTTCTTGGAAATGAATGGATTCCGTTTTTTTTTGTTAAAAAAAGATTAATTTTGAGTAATTTTTAGACTTTTCTTTCATTCAAATCTATCTATAAACAGTTTATAAAAGTAAATCTAAACAGTAAATTAAGTTTTCGTGACTTTTCCGAATTTTGG